AAAGAGTTTTAGGGTAAGAAAATAGCTAGTGTCCTAATTCAAAAAGTTGAAAAAAAAAACTCAAAATTTAAATAGATTTATAAAAAGAAAATATTTGTTTAACTAGAAGAAAATGAGTAAATTAAGATTTATATCTTCGATTTTTTTACTGGCCTTATTTTATTTCTCTTATTGATCAACCTCTTGAAATTAAAAAAAAAATTTGTTAATAATATTATTCTTCAACTCTACAACTTTTTTTTTCTTCTCTTTTTAATTTTTATTTTATTTTATAGAATTCATAATGCTTTCATATAAAAGTCTTCCCACCACATTATGTTAATATTATTCGTATATGTTTATATATATAAAATCTTAGGTTTAATTTTTGACTACCAGGATGTAAGACATTTTGCATTAAAGTGTATAATTTCTTTTATAATGTATATTATCATGTGTTTATATATATATATATATATATATATATAGTATTTTTTTGGTATTTTTTATACCAATATATTTTTTCTTCACATTGTTATCCAACCAAGATTAAATTCAGAAGATCGACTTTGAGTTACAAAATGAGTGATGTTGATTATACAAAAGATTCTCATAGTAATTTATACATAAGGGAGAGAGAGATAAGAAGAAAGAAGAAAAAGTGGAAATAGACAGATGAGACGATGAAATAAAAGAGAATAATAAAGTAAACTTATATCAATCACAATGAGCATGCATAAATGCTCTTTGAGCATGCACATGATCCTGTCCCCCAATCCATCATGTTTAGGGAACATTTCAAGTACTAGCTACTCGGTTCCAGTCCTAAAACAAAAACTAACGTCCATGCAATACATTTTTAATATTATACAAATAGAAAATTTGATTAATACAAGGAATCAATGATAGCAGAGGAGAATAAAAAAAGGACAACTTGAAAAGTAGAAAACGAAAAATATATAGCTACAACAGACAAGCAAATTATTAAACTTATTATTATGCAAGTACACAACAAGTAAAGAAATAATTAAGAAAGTCTTGCAACATAATTTAGAGTCATTATCGATCGTTTCTGTTCATAGTTTATGCTTAGACATCTCACAGCTTAATTTGTTTGAAATATATTATATAACAAACCATAATGATACACAGATTAATAACTATATTTTGAACACCCTGCTCTGTCCATCTGTGTCTGCTACAGCTTAACCTTGCTTCAGTTACTAAGTCAACTGGGCATCACTGACGATGGAGCAGGTTATGGACTCGTAATTTCTAGTCTAGCTCCTGTTCTTGCATTTCTCCACGGCTCTTGGTGCTGAGGCACAATAAACAAGTTTAATTTCTTTTCAGATGTGTTTATTTCAATAATTAAAATTTGAACCTTTCTATAGAACATCTATGTTAATTAATCAACTGATAGTGCATATGACTTAATGGAAGGATTAATTATATATACTTGGAATCATGACTAATAATTAAATGTAGTGTTTTTTTTAAGTAAAAAGTAAAAGTATGCAAGTAAATTAAGATACTAACCCAGTCCAATAGCTTCCTTTCCTTTCATGATACTTGATCTCTTTCATGATTCAACAAACATCCTTTTTTACATATAATCAATATTGATATTATTAATTACATAATAATTGAGCGGAACTATAAATATATTCTAGGCTATTTCGAAAAAAAGTTATGATTTATCAATGCTATATACATGCGTGTTCAATGTCAAAAACTTAATACTAATTGATATAGCATAATAAAAGGATATACTTATTCTGATGCACATGGACATGATAGAAAAATAAGATAATAACACCGCATTATTTCCTTCGAACATGCATAGTTTTTTACGCAAAGTTTCTTGGATAAGGACTCGTTATCGGTGTTTGAAATAACAATGCGATGTGCATATCAACTTCGTGGCTTCTTTTTTTTTACTTTTTTTTTCCCTTCTCTTTTTTTTTTTAAAATTTTACAAGGGCAAATTATTGGAACCAAAATAATTTAGGGTCTTCAAGTGGAGGAATACTTACTCCCATGGGACATCACCGACAAGCATCCAGTCGCCATCCCTGTCTTCATAGGTCGGGACATAGTCGGAGCTGTTCAAAAGATCCATCAACTTGCTCTCATTCATGAAATCCTTGAAGCCTTGGGATTCACAATTTCCTTCAATATATCAACAAGACACCAATAATTAATTAATATCATCGAATAAGCTGCACGATTCAATTTTATATTCACATACACCATTACTTCACTTTCTACGAAACTCAATTTAAGATCCATATCTTTTGGCGGTCAATTATATTAAATGTATGAATGTTATCTCAGTCAGTACTAACACAAAAAGCACGCATATACATAAAATTAACTTGTGGTCGCAAACAAATTATTAATTTGAGTAAAATTTAACTCAATTTCCTTATGGAAGGGCAGTAAACCCCACCAAAAGTGTCAAAACGGATAATAGACATTGACAACACTGATAATATGATTATAAAAAGAAAAATCAACTTGTGGTTAATTAATAAATTACCGATGGTGAAGGAGCTAAACATTTTGCCTAAGGCATCAGAGAGCTCAGGGTAACTCTTGTACATCTTCAAGTCCACTTTGCGGAGGTATGGTGCTCCATCCATGCTAACTTTCACAAAGCTTGCATTAGGGCTGTTCTTCTCGTTTTCCTCTCCACTGCTCTTTTGGGCTGCAAACATGTTCTTCCTGAAAGACCTCACTGGTGGCCATCCCACCACTTGCGCCCTAACATATTCATTTTATTTTAATTCATTAATATTCGTATAATCACTTCATAATTGGAGGGGTTCGGGATGGAATTGTACTATGAAATTATTAGTAAAATAAATAAATTAATCATGTATATATATAGAGAGAAAATTCATTAGTTTCCTTGAAGAACTAGTTAATTACTCGTTACACATCAAGGCTTAAAATATGGCGAATTGTGTTTCTGTTTATGCAAATCCAATTATCTATTTGTTTCTTTACATATGCAAAAAAGATAAGCATTGATGTATCTGGATTTGCTTAATTGTTTCGCACATCGCATGTTAAAAAGTCTGCAAATGAAGATGTACATATATGTAAGATATATATCATCAAACTAGTAGAATTAGCATAAAAGATTATTGGTATATATTGTCACCAGTATGTAATAGCTAGCCAAACTATTTGAAGGTATGTAGATCGTGTTTCCTGCAATAAACGGTATTCGAGAGCTGAAGGGATCTAGAGTTTTAATATTTTTGTTCTCTCTCTCTCTCTCTTACGAGTCTATTTTACAGTCAGTGTCATTAATTTCTTCTTTATTTCTCACGATCTATCCTTTTGGATTCCATTTCTAACTCTTTCTCATTTGGGCACCCATATTAACCATATATCATTAATATAAAAACTATTATCCTTATGTTTACATGCTTAATTTCATGGAAGATCTCGTGAAACTTAGAAACAGAAAATTAACTAGACCAATTCCCCTTCACTCACGTTTACTCGTAGAATTCATTTGGATACAAATTTAGAAAGATTTTTACGAATTTGTCTACTCAAAAATACTTTGAAAGTGTATCTAAACATGCTTATATATGCATGCTACTATGCTAGTATTCAAATATTTTCAACTACTTACTTAGCAGGAGGCTTGGCGGGATCGGGAAGCAAAAGGGTCTTCTCCTTAGGCGAAGTCTCACGTGGATCTGCTCCATCAGCAGTAGCAGATTCCTTTGGAGAGAGGTTAAGCATCAAATCAACGGTGGTTTTTTGGGTCTCAGTTTCAGAGAAACCTCTCTTCCTCACTCCTTCTGGTTCAGTTGTTGCTGAGGCTCCATTTCCAGGGAGTCCTAGCCGGAGCTCAGTTTCCTCAAAGACCATGTTCTTCTCCTTCTTGGGGCCAACTTCCATGAAGTTTCACTCTCCTTCTTTTTCTTTCACTTTATGATCACTCTTTCTCTCTCTAAGCATTCAGGGACTTGGTTGTTTTGTACAATAATAATAGTAGTGGGGTGAGGTATAGGGGCAGGCACGTTATTACGTTAACAGTTGTGTTGTTGGGGGAGGGGAGCCCTTGCTTTTGGGCGAGGTTGGCATTAATAGAAGGATGGATGGGGTGCTTTGTCATTTTAACCAGTCTATGGAGCAATGGGCTTGTGCCACGTGGAGGAATGTGCGACCGAGACCTTTACGACCTTGTTGGGATAGGCAACGACAAGGTCATGTTATCTTCCTATGATTGTTGAGTGGAAGAAGTGGAAGTGGATGCCCACTGCTTCTTGGCTTCTTGCTTATCTCCTTTTTCATTTTTTCTTTTATTATTAGTATTACTCCCTAGGGTTTCCTCATTTCACCAAAACGGTAAATTTACTACTTACCATTTTCTTCCGTTTATCATTCAAACCCAGCTGCTATTTTGATAACTATGATACTGCTACCACTGACTTCATCAATCACTAGAGAATATGATTAGTCATTTTGTGAGAAAAAAATTATTATTTAAAAAAATAAAGTCCAGTACTAGTAAGAAGTTATCATATATATATTTCTACTCTTAATGCAGATGTAGTATTTACTATCTGTCATGAATCCCTTTTTTTTTCTTTCTTGCTATCTTCTACTGCATGCACAGACTTACAAATAGAGACATGTGAGTTAACAACTGTAAATGTTTTTTCTTCTTTGGGGAAAACTAAAATGGAAGGTACTTTATGTATCTTTCGTTGTTCTGACAAGTTTTTGGGATTAAATGTACATGGCATTATGGTATTCTTCGTCGAGCAAAGATCATCGTTGCAGGCTGTGAACTGTGCGTTATTCATCTTTGGATTTAGCAGCAGTTAAATGTTGGTCTGGGGTGCGTCGTAAATCTGGGACCATTCAACCGTGATCCTAATCTCAAGCACTTTACTTCTCAAGTAGATTCCTATATATGCTGATGCTTTGAAAAAATGACTTTCGATTATATATGAATATCTAATTCAGAAATAGATAATGGCTATAACTTTTATGCATCAGTTTTGTGTGTACTGTGTAGTTAATTCTTCTCTCTAGTTAGTAGCTATATACATAACTAATAACAATAAGTCAATGATAAAATACTTTTGGACACGATGCAGGATTTCGTTATAATATTAGCTTTAATTGTCAATTAGAGTATCCATATAGACAGAATTAATACATGTTAAAACAATTTAGATTTCTAGTATTTTGTTCTAGCGATTTGTTATAAATATGTATGTATTTCTGACATGCCTTTTACTTTGGATATGTATTAATGGGTAGGAGTAATTGTCAAACTTAATGCGTTAGTTATTTCTGAAGTTGGACACGTACGCGTATTAGGAACCATGGAGTTGAGATTCATGTTCTGTGGCACAGAAGCAAATCATCTACACAAAATGAAAATCATGCTTTGGGTTGGCGTGGCTAGCCTGTATAGTATCATTTTAAGTACACTTTGTGATTACAACATTTCGACACTATTAATTATGCGTCCATTTGTTAACCTTCCTAATTACAATTGATGTTATCAAAACTAGGAATGAATTATTGCTTTCTTAATAAGTTACTCACATAATTAATTTATAGGCTACAAATTTTAGAATTTACGTTAGTACTTTTATATTGGGATGTGCTAAGTGCTGAAGATGATTCACCAACAGAAATTGTGGGGAGCAAAAGTAGTATATAAGAAGCACATTTAACTACAGCGTGCATATGTACCGGATTAGTGGTATATTGATCAGAGGTGTTGCTTTAGAATTGCACGAGCACAAGTTGACCTTGCCCACATATGGGGCAAACCAAACTGGACCGTGAGAAAAATAAAAGAAACTGAAGATTGTGTCTAAGATTTTCCTAACCTAGCTAATTAGTTACACCCCCGTGTTAGAAACACCAAAATCTTATTTGGTCATGGCTTTGATTTGTGGGATGACTGTGATCCTCATTAATACAATTTCAGGGACGAAATCTTCTCAAGGAAAATGATTTATTAATTAATTGAGTCCATTGACATCAAGTAATGAGAATATGAATCACTTTCAAATTTTGAAGATCATAACTACTTGTTGAAGCATCTAATTATACATGCGTATATGAAAGAAAGTTAAAGGAATAAATTTTAACGATATAACTATGAAAGATCAAGAATTAATAAAAAGCTTTTTTTTTTTAAAGCTTACATAATTTTACGTTTTAATGTTAATTATTTATTATGAGATTTAAAGTTAGTTAACAGGGATTGACATATCTGATCAAATCTTTCGCTTATATTGAGACTTGGATTTAATTATCAAATTTTAGTAGATCATGTGAATTTCAATATAATTATCGCTCAAGTTGATGGTTTAGTCTTATAATTGGGGATGTGTTTTTTTCTTAATCTAAAATTTTTACAAAAAGAAAAGAGGTTTAATTAATTTTTATTTCTTAATATTCATTAAGGAAACTCCCTTGTTTAATATATTTTCTTCTAGTATATACAACTATATGTTGAGTGGAGCAAAACAAACTCTCCTATGTAACAAGATGCAAGTTTGAATTTTCACTCATATATTTGGAATAAGGTAAAAATTACTTTATTTTTAAACACTCTGAGTTAGAAAGTTTTTTTTAATATATTTTTTAATTGTAAATGATGAGACACCATCCTTTTAAAATTCTCTATCTAATTATATATCTATCTATCTACAAATCGGTATCTCAAATTCTTTATTTTCATATCCCAATTACTGGTTATACCAAAATGATAATTATCAAAGAGTTTAATTCAGTTAGTTGAGTGACATATATAAGTTGTTGTAATCTCTCATATTGAATTCGATTTTTAAATATAAAAAACTAAAACGGTAACAAACATTTATGTTTTCGGAGATATATTAATTCTCAACTAAAATACTTAGCTTTTCATCCATGATTTGTCTTTTGTGTCACAAATCATTAATTTTAATTAAGTATAATAGTTTCTGGCCGCTTATCATTTAATAATTTAGAGTATATGTAATTTTTTTCCCTTCACATTTTAGGCACACCATAGCTATTTTATAATATGAGCATATTCTGCCAAAATGTACATACATAGTTACATACATCCAAGTAATATACAAATATGATAAAATAATCTATTTATAGTTTTCTCGCTCATTGGCATATTTTTGTAATTTTCTCATAATCCAAGAGCATTTTGTTTGAATGGCTTTTGGCCTCTTTAATACGTTGTTGTATATTTTTTATAAGGTTATGATCACCTTTAGTTATCATGCAAAAGCTAGGGTGTGGTCCTCCAGTATTTGGATGGGTAAAAAGGAAGAGGTTGAAGTTATTGGTTTAGCAAGGGTAAAATGAAGTGTACATGGACCACTTTTGTTGAAGACGAATTTCACATATGCATGGTAGGTCATGCATCCGTTAAAAATGAAATAACATTAACATCAGGAGAAGAGAATAACGATTGAGCATTGAAGATAGGTACCAAAAATGATGTAGCAGCTTATTTCCCTAATGTGGTATTGAGAGGTAAGTGGGACCCAAGGGTAACAGAGCCATGTGGTAAGATTCATTGGCTAGAGGTCGATATGAAGTGTGAGGGCCCACAAAAGAGCCCATGTGAGTTTGTTGGCCGTATGTACCCTTAAGGGTCAAACCCTATCCCATGTGCGCCGCTGCAGGGCACCCCACTCACCTCCCCTTCAATCCCCACTCAACAGACACCCTCTCTTCTATATCTATTATTCTTTTTTTTTATACTTTTTTTTTCTTTTTAAATTTAATTTCTTATCACGAAATAGTTGATACTAGACTCAAATACTTTAAAAAAATTTCAATTTAAATTTTGCAAATATGGTAAAAAATGTAATTAAGAAAAAAAGTTATACTAAAAACGGTTAATTAGATTTTAAAAAATTAATACATATTTTGTGTTAATAACATGATTATTAAAACTATATTTATAAATTTTAAATAAATAAATATAATTTCAAAGATTAAATTTTTATTACATGATTAAGGGATATGGTTTCCTATCAACTATCACACACTTATTATTTTATCTATATGAACATAAGTTTTACATTACTATTTACTATTTAGATGTCACTAAGGCCCAAAAGTCAACCGTCAACAATGAAGGAGAACAATGATTCCTTGAAACGGGGCAAAAATAAATCATACTTTTTGTGAAACCTTTCCCTGCATTCTCTCCCTTATTTATTAGTATGAATATAATCATATCCCTTAAATATTCCTCCAATATGACGATGAGCATATTCCTTGAGCAACAAGGCTGATTGGAGAGGGAGGTGGAAAGACACAGAAAGAGATCATATAACCAATGATGATTTATTTTGCCTTTTGTTGTGATGAAAATAATTGCTCAATGATTATTGATCTTAGTTAGATATTGCTAATTTATTTATTCACAGGATGGTGGTTTAAACATTAAACACTAAAAAATAGAGGTCAGAGTCTTAGATAGATAGGGAGGGTAGCGTGGAGCAGAAAAACCAAAGACCAGAAAGTGATTAAAAAGTTACATATAACAGATTATTGGTGGTGGCAAAGAGAGAGCTCGTGATCTTTCTAAGCTAACAACATCTACTTATATAGAACTAACTAGCTTTTCCAAGGTTAAAAAGTTTGGTTCCTTTACTTATTCTGAATGATATCTGATATTGCGCTTTCGTTGAGCTCCATGACAAAGTTCAAATTCGGTTCCATCGTTACCAAAAGTGTAGACACAGCGATAAAGTTTCCCCTCTATTCATTATACCATCCACCAAATCTAAACAGATATAACCATGTTCCTTAGAATTCCATGGTGTGGTTTTTGTCAATGTTTTAGATACTATTTGTGTCAGCACTGCACATGCCACTGGTTTTGGTACTAGCTAGCCATCCAGGGTCGACTTTAATTTGCAAAAACACAACACAGAATATAGGCACTGCTACGAGAAATTAATTGAGTTCTGTTGTATACCAGCTAGCTAGGCTCATTATTTCACATGCATAACTCACATATATTTGGCTATGCAGACTATAGGTCTAGCATGTTACATATTCTCTTTCATAAACAAAGCCTTAGTCCT